ACTGGTCAGACTGCCTGTGGCTTGACCAGACCCAGCACTCTGTGTGCAGGGGGACTGAAGCAACAAAGCTAAGGCGCAGAGATGATGTTTGTATCAAAAGACTTGGTTCAACCTGCAGAAGATAGGGGCTAGTTCAGAGGTCTAATTCCCTTGCATCCATTCCATCCTTGCATTAAAACTTTGGTTTGGGCCCACACTACACAACAGGAAGGAAAAAAATTCTGTGCTCAAGGACATGAGTGAGCAGAGATGGCAACCCCAATCGTTGATACATCACACGTATCATGTGGAACTTCTTCCCCAAACAGCCTCGCCCAAGTTGATATTCAGTAGAATTTACATGAAGATGACACTGTATCAGCTGCTGGTAACAAGAAGAGTAAAAGCAACAGAGAGCTGGGCCTTGCCTCAGCCTCAGCCCCAGCTGAGCCTTGCCTGTGGACCACAGGACAGAAGAGCAGCAATTCTCACCACTAACTCATCCTTCAGGTCCCTGGCTGCATAGTGGCATCCCTAACTCAGAATCCTGAGGGATCTGTGTGCCCAGAAGGGGTGTTGATGAAAGCTGAACACTGCATGGGGGAACACCATGCCAACCAGTAGGAAATGCCAAGGAAAGCGCTGTACATAAAACTCCGCATCCCCAGGGCACTTGCAAGTACCAAAGGGAAGTGCCTAAGAGAGCTGAACAGTGCCACTAGGACCTGGCAGATGGTTTCTGCCCAGGCAGGGTATGTGGGAAGCATTCATGGGACTCAGCCCTCACCTCTAAGGAACACTTATATATATTTTATGCCACATGCAGCAGTTCTTGGGAGGGGAAACACAAAAATGTTAGTCCCCTTGCTGAACCTCCACATCTTTATAAGGTTCTGCTTCTGGAGGCATTCAAATCCTTTCTCACCAAGGATGAATGCAAAGTTTCATCTTCCACAGTGCAACCCAATTCCCTGTTCCCTGGGGTAAAGACGGCAGCTCTCACACACCCACCCCAGCTTTGCTCTCAGGCATGTTCAGCTGTTACCTTAGCTATTTTGAATGTTTCTTGAGTACAGGTGCTACTGCAGAGCAGGGCCTCTCACACCATAATATCTACACAATACTGAGGGGAAAGGGAACCCCCTCATCCTGTCCACTGTCAGTTTGCATCCAGCACTTCCTCCCCTTGAAAACAAGCCCGGCCTCCCTCAGACAGCTCAAAACAACTGGGCCAAGTACGTCACAAATTCAAGTCAGAGAAAAAACAATGGGACACAAAACTCAAAAACAACAAACAAGATATTGCACCTCCACAAGATTCTGCCTCTGGTTTCTACCTTGGACGCCTCATCGCAGTGGCTAAGCCCAGGAAAGTTGCATTGCAGAAGCCTTTGAGCACAGGGATTAAGACAGACCCCTGGCTCAACCACCACTGCCATCTGTGCCCATGGCATCCTCCGTGCAGCACTCCAAGGATGTCCCTGCTCTGCAAGTCACAAAGAGCACTGCAGAGCAGCTGGAGGAGGAGGAGGAGGCTTTTCCTGTGGCTGCCTTGTGGCTCCCAGGATTGTTAGGTGCAGAGTTCTGGAAGGTGCAGAGGGAATTAAACTCCCCTGTGTACATAATGAAGCTCCTGAAAAGCTGTCCCTATAATTAGCTGTGTACACAGTAAACACAGTCACCAGGGACGTGGCTTTTGCTTCCAGGCTTGTTTGCAGAACCAGAGCTTCATTCATGTGCTGTTTTGTTTCCCTCCAGCACTGAATAAGAGTCACGTCGCTGTGCCCAATTCCCACAGCTGCTGTGACCACAGAGGACCTCAGACACCCATGCAGCAGGCCAGTTCCCCCCACACTGTTTGGTCTGGACCACAGAGGTGCATGACACTGGAAATATCTACAACACCAAGGCTTCTCTCAGATGTCTCCACAGAAGACCTGTCCACTTTACCTTACTGCAGCCAAAGCAGTACAACCCTTCCTAGGGAGGAATGAGCTATGCCCATAAAAAGGAATAGTTTTCCCAGTGAGGAAATACAAGTAGGGCTCTTGCTAGGAGATACAGCCCTGCATGTTCTAGGACTGTATAAAACCAGGAGTTCAAAACCATCACACACCACTGACATGGGGATGTTGGAAGGCAGGTGTGAGGTTGCTCTGCCTGGGCTCGAGAGCAGTGTGAGGTGAGCCATCTCTGATTCTCAAAGCTGTAAGGTGTGACAGAGTCTGGAATGAGACCCTGTGGCTCCCCAGTGCTTTGGAGGGGCTGAGCCCTGTGCTCACACCTTCACACAGCTCTATGGTTGGAGACAACTGATCCTCCCTCTACCATGCCCCTTGCATAGGGCACAGGCAGCTCTGGCAAGTTTCATGCATTGCACAGGGGATTCCAACAACAAAATTGAGGCTTTATTCACATTCTTCCAGACCAGCATTGCAACCTCTGCCTGCACCCAAGGGCTTAGCCACTAGTCTAAAGCAGCGAGACATTCTGACACCTTAGACCTTTCCCCTTACTTGGGGCTCAGCCTTCTGCTCTCAGCATCTTTCCTGTACTTCTGCAGCCCTTCTTCAATGCACAAAAGCCACGAGAGCATCCAGCAGGATTCAGGCATATATATTGCCACTAGACACAGGCTCATTCAAGAGGTCATCTGGTGCAGACAGTTCTTTTTCCCGAACCTACCAAGGGTGAGGGCATGCTTTGCTCTGCTCACCAACAGCATCCCCTGGGCAAGCTCACCAAGCAGGAGAGAGGCTGCAGTGCAACCATGTGATGCTACCAGGCAAGGCTCCCATGCCAAGGAGTGCCACCAAGAAGCAGTCTTCACCTGCAGCTCCAGGACTAGCATGTAAATCCAATGCACCAAACACAGTGGCAGGTATGTGACCCAGCCTGAACAGTCTCATGCTTCAGAGGAAAAGGCACCGAAGAGGTCTGCAGAGACAGCTCACTCCAGCTGTTATGTGATCACTATACCCATAGGCCAAAACCTATGGTCTTGTAGGCTCCAGCTGATGACAGCGACATCTCCACTTCTGGGACTACATGCTAGTGGCAGAAGGTCACTGTGAAATGCATGCTCAGAAGAGAGGACACACAAGTAAAACAGTTTTATGGGCTGAGGGCAGATGCTTCCACTTTTATCAGACTAGAGAAAGAAATATGCAACACATAATGCCCCAAACTCAACTCTCCCTTGACACTTTCAGTGTTATTATCTAGCTGTGGCCAAGAAGCAATGCGACCGGTTCCCACAGGCTACTTGCAAACCACAGGTTAGGGAGAACTCAACTGTGACAAGGGCAGAACTGAACAGACAGGTGGTTTGCTTCTCCTCTCCTCTCTCTTTTCCTCCTCTTTTCTGAACTGTCTCATTTAGGAAACAATTATTGGCTATTGCATCGACCATGGAGCTTCTGAGACCCCATACTGCCCACCGCTCTGCCTCTTAGGGGAGAGCTCCCTGTGCATGGAGACGGTTTCCCAGCCTTGCCAACACAAGGCACAACCCTGAATATCATATTTTGGTCATATCACTCTTCCTTGGAAACGTGCAGCAATTTTGATTCCCTATACCAACTGTTAACAGCATTGGGCTTGCTCTAGGTAAGCAGAGGAGAAGGGAGGGTAGAGCACTAAAAGAGGCAAGTCCAGCTGCATGAGAGACAGAGCCTTAGGGAGATGAAAGACATCAGCTTGATCCACAGGAAGGGGCAAGAGCTAGCACAGGGCTGGCACCTGCCTCCCTATTGTGCTCAAGAACCTCCCTGCTGTGGCCCTCATCATGGTGACTGGCAGCTACTTTGCATCCCTTCCAGATCCTAACTTCTCCCTCTGAGGTGGGGAGCTGTGTTTGCCTCATCCACAAGAACAACTTCTTTCTGTACCCAGTTCTTTGCCTTGGGCTAATTTTTGAGAAAAGGCTGAGGTTTCTCAGCTCTACACCTCTTAGGCTCCCAGTCCCAAGCCAAATCTCTCAAGCTCTGAGAGACAGTGCAGTCACTGTGTGACAGAAACATCCATACTTCATGCCAAAGGATGCTGAGCCAAGTATGAGGCAAGCTTACTGCATGCATCTAGTACAGCAGAAGAGGGATGGTTCACATACTTCATCTGCAAAGTCCTCAACCACTGTACGCCAGCACTGGGACCTCTGAGAGATGTCTGTGGTCAATACAGACATTAGTCTTTCCCTCTAATGCAGTGTGCCCACCTGACACAGGTCCCATTCCTCTTAGCCTCAAGCTGCATCTTAGTCTCATTCATTTTTGCTGCACCAGCTCAGACCTGTTGTACCCAGTGCTGTTCTGATCCCAGACCTTCACGGAAATCTCTCATCCTGGTGGAAATATCTGTTGATGATGGCTCCAGTTCTGTGGGGAATGATTCTTAGCAACCAATCTGACTGGTTAGGCATTGCAAGCCAGGTTAAATTCAGAGAAAGAAGATTTTTGAGCTTACTCACTCAGAAATACACAGGCTTTGTCCTTAAGTGAAAGACATGAGGAGTGGGAAATCATGTTATTTGCATAAAAAAAATCAGGCTATTCACTTTCTGCTTTATTTAGTAAAATAAATGGAACAGTTAATGTGATATAAAGCAACCCATCTGTTCTTAGTGTCAGGAGAGGCTGACAGTGGATCCCAGCATGGCATCTAAAGCAAAGGGACTGAGGGAAACAGATCTCGGTACTACAAGCTTTACCTCTGATATTGCCATTTTGCTATATCACCCTTTGCTCCAACAGAGGTGCCATGGAAGGGCACAGTGTAGGGCAATACCAGAACTCCTGGATTACTGAGAAAAGAGAGCAGGAGCCAACAAATGAGAAGGGAGAAGAGATTCCTAGAAAGGACAGACAGCATATAGGTACATAGCATGGAGATGGGAATCCGTGACTCACTTGGCCCCTTAATCCTACTATCCCAGGAATTCCTGAGCTGCGAGGCTTAGTGAATTCTTCACACACCAGAAAGAGATGACTCTGGGCACAGTCATTCTGTTGGCTGAGAAAGAATCAGAGTTCTTCATTGAGGGCCTTCTCTTCAGGTTTATCTTCTTTCTAAAACACATTAGAGGCAGGAAATCAGATTTGACATTGCTTGGTTTCTCAGCATAGTGATAAAAGGAAACAAACCAACTTAAATGCCTCCCTCTGCTATCCATGCCACTGCCCTGCCTATCCCATTTCAATTGCACAACACAGGGTCCTGATACACAAAGCCTCTGTGCTATAGGAAGATGAGCTTGGACAGAGAGAGAACTCTAACACTGAATAAACATGGAGATCAAATTGTCCCTCTCCCAGGAGAGTCCTCTGGTAGAGTCCTGAGCCCTTGTCTGTATACACTGTTCTGTGGCCTTTTAGATTGATTTCCTTCCTATCCATGCCACTGTCTCTCTGATCCTCTCTCATGTGCTGCCATCCACCACCCCCATTCTCAGTGTTCAAAAACACCCTTCACTCTGTCTTCCCAGTTGCTGTTCCCAGAAAATAGATACTTCACTGAGACCTCCATACAGTTGTAGAGGTCACTGAAGTCCTCTTGCTGTAAACTAGGAGGCAGAAGTCAATGAAAAAAGAGGCTCTGCAAGGACATTAATCTCTGCTCTGCTCTAGATCTAATGCTTTTCTGATATTCAGGTGCAAAAGAAAATGAAAGAGGAGGTGGCAGGGGTGGGGAGGAGTTCAAGGAACTGAAGTCATCTTCAAGAGCCTTGTGAGCAACAGCATCACCCTACAAGATCCCAGCTTCCTGTAGACTGTACCCGAGTCCCCCTTTACCTTCTGCATTCTTTGTAAGAAACTATTACAGAAGTCTTGTACACGCTCAACGGAGACTTCATCCAGAGTCAGCACATCCTGCTCCTCATCTGGTGAGTGGAATATAGCCAGAGCTGGCAGCTGTGACTTCTTCAGTTTGAAGAATGACACTGTTCGTTCATTGCTCTTCAAATTGCTGTCTACCAGGATAAAGAGAATCTGTGATGGATATAGGAGAGGAAACACACGCAAAACAGAAATTGAGAGAGAGAACAGATCCCCAAACAGTGATCACATGAAGATTAACAGTTATATTTTCATAAAGAGTTAGATAAAACCTACCAGATTCTGTTAGGACAACACTTTCCTCTGCTGCTATCTAACTGCTCCATGCAGTGCTTTTTTCTATATTTTATCAAGTCCAGACTTACATTACCAAACAAAATGTCTTCATTCACCTCCTTTAAAAATATATCTACAGTATGGTAGGAAGGCAATCTCCACTTCTATTCTCTTAACAAATGAGGAAACAAGATGTCTTTTATCTTAGTGGCACATATGAAAGAAGCTGTCTCCTCTACTTGCATGTTATTTGGATAAGATGCCTACACCCATGCAAGATCCTGAGTGGCAGAGTAAAAAGTTGTTTTGGTGTCTGGAGAATCAAACTCAATTGCAAGAATGTGGGAGTGAAGTATAGAGCAGCAGGAGCCTGCAAGGATGAGAACATGAGAGTGTGTATACAAAGGATGTATTTAAGTGAGCTGCAGTGAACAGAAATGAAGACGCAATCATTTGGGAACCAGGAGTTGTTGGCAAGACATCAATGTCCATACAGCCCAGTTCAGTGGAGGGTTGTTCAAACCTAGGGAGATAAACCCAACAATTAATAAACCAGGATGAGAATGACCTACAGTTTTCTGGGCTCCCAAATTGTCTTGGAGAGCAAGATCAAGCCAAGGATTAGGATTCTGCTGGGATGATTCAGTAGTACAGATTTATCAGAACTGGTGACCAACTCCATGTTTTATTTTAAAAGTGAACTTCAAATGAGATCTTACAGGTGCAGAACGAATTGGTACAAATTTAAAATTTTGGTTTCTGAAAGATTATCAATAAAATATACAGCTATCTCAAAAATCTTTGTTAAATTATCTGTTAATACTAAAAACATTATGTGTAAATTTCATAAAAGAAAATAAATATAGCAATTGAATGATGTAATCAGTGACCTGATTAAATACAATCCCTTGGCAGGTGACATCCAAGTCAATGAAACAAACATCCAGCTAACATGCATCACTTTGTCTTCTCTTTATCCTCTGCAGTCTGTTGGGCCTAGCATACTTAATGTACCTATGGACATGGATATGAGTTAACTTCCACAAGAAAAAAAGGAGCGTTTAAAAAAAGAAAAGTAATGTGAAGGTGATGTGCCCAGTTCCCAGGCTGTGACTCATGGGTTTTTTTACTTTTCAATCAAGAACACTCAAGTTAGTTCAAAACTTTATTCTTCCCTAAAAATAAACTCGGTAAATCTCAAATTCTTTACTTTATTAAATTTATGTTCGATGAAAAACCAAATAAGTCTGGAAACTACTAGGCAACATCCTATGGGAAGGATGGATAGTTAGGCTAGTGTAAGGTTTAACTTCAGTTAATCACTGCAATACAGAAACAGGAACAACACTTTCACTGGATATGTGATATTTATCACTTGCAATTTCTCTTCCAAAAGTCAGCTGTGATCCAAAGGCAGCAAGCTAGTGAGCAGACAGGCTGTGGGGAACTTCTCCCAGAGTGCTAAATTCATCCTTTTCATCCACACCAAGCCAGAGAAGGGTCACAATTCTAAGGGTCACAGGTCTAAGGGACTGATCTAAGAGGCTTTCAGCTGGAGAAGCAATACTTATGTTTTAGGGCATTTCTTCCATCTAGCAAACTGGAAATAGAAGTCGGTGCTGGAGGGAAGCACTTTCAGAGGGTTGGCATAGGAAACGGTATCACATTTTCACCAGTTCATTCACTAGTCTTTGGCTTATTCTAGGAAAGATTCACTAGACAACAACATTTTTTTAGGAAGTTATTTTTAAAAAGCATTTAGAATACCTAGGCTGTTAAATGTCATTTTCTATACAAAATCTCCTCCACCTTTAAAACCGATGAATAGCATTTTAAATTGGTAATGCAAATAAATGTTAGTCAACATTCTTCACTTTATCAAGCTTCCAGCCTTTGTTACAAATCCCAAACCTAAAAAGCTGTACATATTATATAGAATCATAGAATGGTTTGGTTGGAAAAGACCTTTGAGATCATCGAGTCCAACTGTACCTGTCCACTACTAAACCATGTCTCTGAGCACCTCATCTACCCATCTTTCATATACCTCCAGGGATGGTGACTTAACCACGTCCCTAGGTAGACTGTTCCAGTGCCTGATAACCCTTTCAGTGAAGAACCTTTTCCTGATACCCAACCTGAACCTCCTTTGGTGCAACTTGAGGCCATTTCTTCTTGTTCTATCACTAGTTACCTGGGAGAAGAGACACACACCCACCTTGCTACAACCTCCTTTCAGGTGGTTGTAGACAGTGATAAGGTCTCCGCTCAGCCTCCTTTTTTCTAGGCTAAACAACCCCAGTTCCCTCAGTTGCTCCTCATAAGACTTGTTCTCCAGCCCCTTCACCAGCTTTGCTGCTCTTCTCTGGACACGCTCCAGTGCCTCAATGTCCTTGTAGATGAATACAAAGATATTCATGAATACAAAGATATTCATGAATACAAAGAATAGAGTAAGAATAAAAGAATAAAAAAAGTTCAGGTTTAGAACTCCAAACACCTTCTTCCTTACAGAAGAAAATTAAAACACACAAACTGCCCCCTCACCTAGAAAGGTTGAGATACCATCATTCACAGTTCCTGACTTGGATCTCTCTAATGATTCATATTTGGCTCATGGAGTTACAGGGTGCCAAAGAACAGCAAAAATTTCCTTCTCCTCTTATATTCCACAAATACAGGAGAGATGGCAATTGCATGTGTCCACTGTTGCTCCAAAGAAGACACTTTAGTGACATCACATGTATTTTAGAATGACACATTCCAAGTAGGTGCTGTGACATGGGATGAATTCTCCTTCACCAAAAGGACAGACCATGCATCCTATGCTGGATGTGCTCTAGGGGTCCTGCCAAGGCTTGTATGGCCTCAAAGTCACACCTGCAAGGCAGTCTGTAAGGTGCATTGGTACTGAGGCCACAAGCACTGGAAGCCTGGTCTCCTCAGCAGCTGGAAACCAAGCAGGTTTTTCAATGGGGACATTTCCACTATAGATGCCACTGGTGGAACTGTCATTTTCTCATGAGGAATTAATTTTGTTCAGAGATTCCCAGCCAGCTCTAATCATAAAGAATGAATGCAGTGACCATGGAAAATTATACTGACCATAAGACAAGATACACTTTGCCTAAATTCTGCCATCTAGATCTTAGTTTTGTCTTGGACAGTCATCTAGGTAACCTCTACAATAAATGGTGACAGGCACTTTATTCCACCTGTTTTAGAAGGGAAGGAAGGACATGCCTATTCTTCTCTACTAGTGCTGAAAAGAGCCTAAAGCCTTTGCTCAGACAACTTACCAAAGCTGTAATTCACCAAAACAAATGCCACTTAGGATGCCAACTGTCACATCACTGCTAGAAACCAGGTAGTTCCATCTTAAACAGAAAGTTCATTTTCTATTTCATACTCTCCTGTACAATAGCTATTTTTTTCCATTCTGAAACTATTTCCATGAAACTACTTCATTTTGTAGCGATGTGTTCAGAGGTCTGCTGCTACAGGCAGTGAAGGATCTCCTGCACAGATGAGCTTCACACATGATATTATCTGTGGACTATGACCTGCAATAAGCTCTCTTTCAGAAAATTTTGTACATTAGTGCTGTCTTGGTGTCTTGACAAGTTGATTCCTAGACCAGTGCTTTTAGAATATCAAGTTCCTGGTAAATACTAAGATATGGAATGATGTTATTGCCCAAGGAATTAAAGTTAATTGAAAATAGTACTGCAATGTAGAAACCAATTTAATGTTGCTTAGTTTTTCCTCTAACAAAGAGAAACAGGAAGGATGATCAAGCCTCATAGCCAGTGTTTGACTTTGAACTTCATGGAGTTGCAACCTTCATTCTTTGAGGAGACTGTATAAGCAAAAAGATCAAATTCTGAAATTTGAGTAATTTCTTACACAGCTTACACAGTACATCAAAGCAAAATTAAAACATCAGTCATGAATTAAAAGAAAACCAAGCTATAAAAACAACTTTACTACAGACATCTGTTAAGTGACATAGACAATCCATATTTACAGATTACCCTGTTTATGGCTATAAGAGGCATCTCTAAATATTATCTCTCTCAGTTCTGGAGCCACCAATGTCTGACAAGAAAAATAAAGTGTATGAATGACTGCAGGAGGAAGGGCACCATCCTTTTCCTTCCATGGAAGAACTCTTGAAAGACTCTCAAGAGTTTCTCAGAACCCATTTCTAAATGGGTCTAAAAATAAATTAAAAGGGACTTTGCAAACATCTCTACCCAAATCATTTTGACATTGTAAACCAGTTATATCAGTTGCATCAAAAGCTGCTTTTGTTATTCCCAATATCACCTTATTGAAACTTCTGCAAACACCCATGAGGGACACCAGCTGTAATTGTCGTGTTATACTCTGACACTGTGGAAAGAAAACTGAAGATACTTATGCTAGTTTTGATCAGCAATGCAAACCCCAACATTTCCTTTCTAGCAGAAAGCCTGGACTCTTAGTATTAATTTCTCAAATAAGCACATATTTCATTGCAGTGGGATCCTTCCAAGAAGGCTGGTGGATTCACTCCTGCAGCTGCTGCGCTCTGAGCTCTGTCTGTTCACTGTTACCCACCCACAATTGTTTCTCAAAGTCTGCTAGAAAAGTACTTCTTTCTTCTTATTCTTGTCAGCTCTTTCTGGCTTAGCAATATCTAACATTTGCACTTTCCTCTCCAGCATTTTATAGCCCCCAGGTTCCATGATAAAATCCAGAGGAATCTAGACTGCCTTCAGACACTCCCTACTGCTCAGGGTGCAGTTCAGGCTGTTTTCAAATGAAGGTCCTCACCATACAGCCTCATGGATCCTCCAGCTGAAAATCTCAGCTTTCTCTCAAGCAAAAATGAAAAGATCATAAACTAGAGATAAAGGGACCATAATTCACGAACTGGCAGGTGAATCACTTCCTCATGGTCCCTTAACGGTTGGACCAAATGATCTTAAGGGTCTTTTCCAGCCTAAATGATTCTATGATTCTATGATTTTCTTTACTCTTTGGGGTCAGTCACTCAGTCACAGCAGTTCCTCTTCACCTCTCCATCAATCCAAGCAATAAGTTTCTCTTCTCCCACCAGCTGGTGACAACAATGACAAGGACTCCTTTTCCCTCAGAGCGAAGCAGAGATGTGTGAAAGGATCAGTACCCCTTCTTCTGCTTGGGAACCCTCTCGAGGCTCTGTTTGTGTTCTGCACTGGCTTGTAGAGAAGTTGCAACACACACTGAGTCTCCCCACTCTCTTCTGGCACTTTGCAATCACTGTAAAACACTTCTGGATGCAGTGGTACATGCTCACAGGGAGCCTGAACACTTCTCCCTTGCATGGCAATGAGTCCTTGCTCGAACCACTGACAGCCCTAACCCCACAGCACAAACAAGCTTTTCACCACCAGCTCACAGGTTATGAATTATTCACTGGTAATCCTGAATAAAATTCAAGTCAAGAATCTTGTATTTATTCACAGACAATCTGTAAGCCGCAAAAAGGCAAAATCTACTCAATACTTCACTTGTTTTGAAGTAAACCTGAGTTAACTTGGTAGTCTTGACAACAAATAACTCCACTTAGCAAAATTAGCCAGCAGACATTTCCATGGTATTGTGTGGTGCCTGCTTCTGATACTCAAACTAATTCACGTCTTTCTACATGACAGAGCAATGAAGACAAACCTAAGTGGGCACACCGCTCTGCTTACTCCATAGTAGCCAGATCCAAGACCCAAACAGCAGGACCCTAGCTCTCTCTTACTGCTTTGTAAGAGGGCAGTCCAAATCACAATTTACTCCTCAGAGTGCCACTCTTTTGGGAAAAACAACTTTATTAAACTCTAAGTCCCTTCATCTATGTGTCCTGCAGAAGCACTGCAGTAAAGTGGAAATAATTAGTCAAATCCCAACATCTTTAATCTCTGTATTTTACTCTGGCAAACTTCTAGACTGATTCAGTGGGGAAATTGCCTGCATTAATTTAAAAAAAAAAAAAAAAAAGTTAGATTTGGCTTCCTGGCAATTCATAAATTATCTGGACTTCAGTACAACATTTTATCCAATGTTTTGTGAAGTATTTCTAGGAAAAATATTCACATTTGCTCAGATTTGGGCATGTCACATGAAGAGAAAACTGGCTGCAGCCACATCAGAAAAGGATAATGACACTAAACAGCAATGCACTATGTTAGAAGAAGTAGCTGCCTGAGGGGAGACCACAGATGTTCTAGTTCTTAAACCCAAACTCTTTCCAGCTCCACTCTGCTCCCAGGAAGATCTCTTCCACTGCTTCTCAGCTTATCTTTCTCTGCTGCTGTGATCCTCTGCCCCCCCCAGCTGCTGTTCTCCCTTGCCCCAAATGTCCTTCTGTTGCTCTCAAACCTCTTTTGCTTGACAGTTCCTTCCTCTGTTCCCTGGACATAAATTCCCCTATAATCCAGCTGCTAGAAGAGAATCAGCCATGGGGACATTTACTATCTGGGGCGCTCTGCCCACATTGGGGTGGGAAACAGGTAAAATTTCTCTGAAAGACCCCATCTATCCCATCACCTTACTGCGGGAAATCTGACAAACCCACTTGCAACTCCTTTAAAATAGCTATTTCCCCAGGATCCAACCAGAAGGCTAAGAGTTAAGAAGCACCACAACATTAATGTCTGTCTGGTCACTTATATAATGCTCCTTGGCATCTTGCAGGCTGTATATTGAAAATCGCCTCTCACACCACTGGAATGCAACCATCGCCAGACAGAAGTGCAGCAGCTGTTTGTCATCTCCCAGTGCAAGCAAACAAAACTTGACCAAAAGCAAGGAAGTACATAATGTTCCACCAAGGGAGCAGAGGAGTAAGATACAGAGGATAATCTCCCTGCAAGGAGGCAAAAAAGGTGAACAGATCCAGCTTAAATATCCAGCTAATCGTCTTTTCCTGCCACTTGGCCTTTGCTCCCCTAATGCACAGAGGAGGAGATTATGCCCTCACCATCCACAGAAGAAATCACTGTTTTCCCTTTTTTCTCCCTAATGGTTTCCCTTCCTCTCTGTTTGGACTTACCTTCCCCTTGAAGAGCTCTGCTGCCGCTCGATATCCGCGCATTCGCTTGGGGTGCTTTGGGGACATCTTGTCTGTGATCAGGAGGAGGTGAAGTTGGAGTGAACTCTGCATCACACCTATTGCTGTCTGCCGAAAATATGGCCACCACAGACAGAGAGAGAAACACACACAGACAAGGAAACAGAACATTCAATCTGCACTGGATGCAGGGCCAGAGGGACATTAGTCCTTATGTCTCAGCTGAGATCTCTTTGCAAATCAGCCCCACAAGCAGGACAGCTTTCTTTAAAGCAGGAGGGATCCAATCTGGATTCTTTGTGAAGGCGCTTAACCTCCTGACTTTGACTTTTCCTGAGATGAGAGTCCGAAGATGACAAGGGTTCATTACTGGCCTCAGGATAGTCAGTGACTAGGCAGGGAGTCTGCCTAGATACAGCAAGCTGAAGTCCAGAGGGGCAAGGCAGTGGAGGGGGAAAGCCAGCTAAAACTGAACGTAAGGGTGCCCTGAATCACTGAGGTCCACCACCTAGCTGAAATGTGAGCAAGGGCCAAACAGGCAGCACACACTGGCCCTCTGTGAAGAGACAGGGCTGGCACTGCCCAAGAAGCTGCCACACCATCTCCAGGCACTCACTCACTCACTCACTCACTCACTCACTCACTCATCATCTTGTTTCTTCCATCCGCTTCCCGCAGCCCTGCAGCCTCTCCCTCCCAAACCCAGCCCTGCTGCCTCCCCTGCGCCGCTGAAACCACGGAAGCACAGACTGTGCAGCTCCCTGCCAGCGGGAAAAAAAAGTTTCCAGACACTCCAGCAGTAATAATGAAGAGGTCAGGGAGTGCACGCTGGCAAGGGCCATGCACCACAAAGCATTTCGTTTTTGGCAGTCAGGACTCTGCTATTAGCCTAATATTTATCAGACATTTTGTATCGCTTCACTTCTCTGGTGATGTGTAGATGGGGTAAGGGGCAGTAGAGGGGTTGCAAACCAAAGCTGGAGAGCATTAGAAGATCTCATGGGAGAGGATGGAGCTGAAGACAAGGCTGAAGCCCACCAGCACCAAGGGCCACTATGGGGCTGGGTGAAGAGGGGCAGGGCTGGAGTTGCAGTTCCTCTGGCAGCTCCACACAAAGGTGTGCCTGTCCATGCAAGAGTGATGAGCAGAGCTCATCAACATGTCCAAGTCACATCTGACTATCCTGGAAAGCACACAGGAAAAGCATTGCATAAAAATGCCTAAAGTATGTGGGAGAAACAGTAAGGGCCCCAGGATGGGGAGAGAAACTCTTGGCAGCACTCAGCGTGATCTGTGTGAACCCAGCCTCTGCTGACCAGCAGCATTCTTAGATGTAAACAGCATATGCACCAGGAATAAATATTTACAAAAAAACAAGCTACATCAGCAGAGCTGGGAGACTGCAGGAGGCACTGTTAATTGCAGCACCTTGATAGGACTCCGGAGTGTCTGGAAAAAAACCTGGAACAACATGTGTACTGGCAGTCAGGGTGCAGGGGACCGGCTGAACAGCTCAGGACTTCTCAGTCAGGGAGACAGCCCAGGTGCCAAACAGGATACCATGGAGCAAGAGCCCAAAGCATCAGCAAAAATGCATTAAGAAAGAGTCATGATCTAATGAATGGTCAAAAGATGAAGTGGACACTCCAAGGGTTCAGAAGGCCTGGGCAATTATGAAGGCAACAAGAACATTCCCGCAGACGTGACTTGGGTGTTCTCAAAAGGATGGGAGGACAGTGGGGCAGGATAGAGCTCGTCTGTCCCCAGAAATATTATGTGATTTTGAAATGCATGTCATTTTTCACAGCTCTTATCAAGATGAAAAAAAAAAATATCCATGTTTCTTTTTGTTCTTGTTGGGGTTTGTTTGTTTGTTTGTTTGTTTGAAGAAAAAACCTGGAACTTCTGCAGTATTTCATTCTGGAAACAAAATGTTGCATTTCCAAAATCAAATGCTCTCTCTACGGGTGGGCTGCAACTGAACTGGGGAATGTGTCAGCCCTCTGACCTGATCCTTGGCATCAGCTTGAAAAGGCAGAGCTTTGAAAGAGGTTGCGCCTTTCTTCTTTGATTAAATTGAGTCTGGTCATCACTGTTGTAGCTATCCAGAAGTCCACAAAAAAACCCATCAGCAATGATAAAGTCTCAGTCTTGTGGCCACTGGGACTTCTAAGACCTATTGACTCCATAGCAATGAGCCCAGTGAACTGCTGAGATTTCAGAGGAGCCTAAATCCTTGGTCACTCTCTATAGCATGGAGCACGGGGACTCTGCCACTGCCAGTCAGATGGTTGAGCTAATGAAGATGGCCAACATGGAAACATCCTATATCTGGTGGGGTTTTTTGTTGTTGTTGAACTCATGAATCCTGGAGAAAGGGTTGGAGGCAATGGGAAAAATTTTGCCTGGGAAGTTTACAACTGGCTCTTGAATATGCCTTCAAATAGCCGGACTTACATCAAGCCCTATGTACCAGGTGAAAAAAAGGCTGCCTTCTGGGAGTAGGTGACTCGAGTTTCCATGTTTCTCAAGACTTCTCAGCCAAAGAGAGAGGATCCTGGGTGAACAGGATCTACAGTCATGGCTCAATATGGCAAATGCCCATGGGAGGAAGCAGCACTGCCAGTAGGAGCGGTAAGAAATTGAGCTCTCTGCCCACCAACACCCTAAATTTACTGGAAAGTTAAAGGAACCACCACGCCTTCCTTCCTCTCCCCACCCCATTCTCACACCCCAGCACTGCATCTGCTTCCAGTCCCTATATGGAGTAACAGTGAAGAGCTGTGTGGTTTCCCCAACCCCATCCACACCGTTGCCATAACCCTCACACACATCAGAGTGTGCAAACTCTTGGGTCAGAGGACCCAAGAAGGGCCCATGAGGAGGAGGACAAGTGCTGGGGTGAGGGCTGTAGGGATCTGATAATTACCACAGGGTTGTACTCTGTCACCAGGCGGAGCTCATTCATCCGGACGAAACGAGTCATCTTCTCAACATCAACATCTTTGCTGTTCATATCCAGATCCCTCCGGTCATTGTCTACCTAAAGACACACAAAGACACCTACAGTCACAGCTGTCCTCTCCCCTCAGCACCCCCTCCAGAGGCACTGATGGCACTCACTCCTGGAGACATCTACCCCCTGGGACACCGCTATCCTCTCCCTCCCACCACATAATCCCCACTTCCAGAGGTCCAGAATCTAGAGACCAGCCTGCACTTTGAGATAAGGATCTTTCATCCTCCTTCAGTCTCCTGAGGACAAGGCAAACTCATGCATAACAGAAATCACTGAGGACTCCAAAAACCTCTACAGTGTCAGCTACTGATGCAATGGTGACAGGGAAGATTAGCTGATAAACTCTTCTAGGGGTTGTGGGGAAGAGATCATTAGCCTAACTCCTGGCACCGATTTTGGCTTTACCTCCCTTTTTAAAATCTTCATCTGTTCTTCTGTTACTTCTGCAAGTAATAAACATTGGCATAGGCCTGTATGGATTTCCTGGAAACATTGTGCAAGCAGGAAATCTTTCCAATAAAAAGAGGAATTTTTTTTCCAGTACAGTAAAAAAAAAATAAATAAAAAAATCATGGCCAGCTCATTTTAGCTTTAGAGAAAAATCCATCCTGCCATACATATCTCCACACTCCAACCCCCAACCAAATTATGTGATTTTATTGAGGTTTTCATGACCTACTAAACAGAAAAAAAAGCAGGCAAGCAGGCAACCACTGCATGATAGCTAACTACCCAAAGAGGCAGAATTGCTGTCACCGCAGGACGTGACTGAGTTGAGCCATGGGGATGCTGAGATGTGATACGCAATAGGATCAAAGTCTGGGATTTGAAGGCCTTTGATACACGTT